TCACATGTAAACCTTATAATTGTCACACGCTTATCATCGCAGATGTGTATACAGTCTAAATAAATATTAACCTTCCTTTGGGCCGATTAAATATTTACACGAAAGCATACACACAAACATCTCACATTCCTCATGAACAATCTACACAAGAGAGGTTACTTTGGCAACTTCTTGTTTCAATTAATCAATTAGAGTGATAGACAACCTTAATTCCTTAGTGTCATAATATTTAAATTAAATAATTGATTAAAAACCAAATTATATTTAAATTAAAAAGTTTTAATTTAAATCAACTGAATTTCCAAAAAACTTAATTGGGGTCTCACAGCTTAATTAGGGCACATAACTTAATTAAATAAATTAAGTATACCAAAGTGGACCCGTGAAAAGCCGAGGCTTAATCATAGTGAACACGAAGTTCGCTTGACTTCGAACGCGAGGTTCGACTGTATTGAGTACGAGACTCACTTAAGCACGAACGCGAGGTTCGTCTGAGAACGAACGCGAGGTTCGTTTGAAAAATAAACGCGAGGTTCAACTTGAGAACGAACCCGAGGTTCGTTAAAAAAAAATGAACGCGAGGTTCAACTGAAGTACGAACGCGAGGTTCGATTGAAGCAAGAACGCGAGGTTCGACTGAAACATGAACGCGAGGTTCGACTGAAGCACGAACGCGAGGTTCGACTGAAGCACGAACGCGAGGTTCGACTTAGAACTGAACGCGAGGTTCACCTTAGAACTGAGCGCGAGGCTCACATTAGAATGAACGCGAAGTTCGTTGAGCGCGAGGCTCACTTGAGAACGAACGCAAAGTTCGTTTGAACGCGAAGTTCGGTTAAAATTGAACGAACGCGAGGTTCGTTTGAAGCTTACCGCTTCGCCAAAATTTGAGGTAACCACCTCCTTAATGTTCGTCACGTTTTCACGCACGAACCCTTAGGGTTTCAAACTGAAACCGCCGCCATTAAATCAAAAAACAGATCTAGAATCGAAAAATGAGTTTTCTTGATCCAGATCCAAGAAAAAACAGCCGAAAAATCCAACAATTTCAAAAAGCTACTGTTCACCAGTGATTTTCAGTTACTGTTCATCCGAAAAAACTTTACTGTTCATCCGAAAAAATTTCGCTATTGTTCATCCGAACAAAAAACTTTACTGTTCATTGTAGGCATCGAAAACTACCTATAGGTCTCCACAAACAGCTCAGTGTTAAGGAACAACGATGAGCGTAACTATCCGGTTCCCAGAAGTTCAATTGATGTTGGTGAACGCCTGAAGTGAATCGACGAACTACGTGAACTGATAGAATTTCGGAATAACGAAGGTACGGGCTAATCGAGAGCCCTGCGATGTTTACAAAAAGGAACAATACCCTTCGTGTCTCATTCATTATACAGATGATCCAACCATTGGGGCTGATAGAACTCCTTGTCGGCTTTCCAACGCACTTCGAATCACTCAAATCCGAGTTCGGACAAAGAATTTACAGTGGAAGCGGGCGAATGCACCACAACGGAGTGTCTCGGCCAAAGCCTTGACACCCTAGGGTGTCTCGGATTTGGGGAGACACCCTAGGGTGTCTCCAACGCGGATTTAGGCCCTTTAGGTGGTTTTAACCGCTCCGCAACCCCTCAAGCCTATAAATACAAGCCCCAGGCCCTCATTTTTTGAGATCTGGAATTTTGGAGAATAGGCGAAGCCCTGTCGGATCAAAGACTGAAGGTGCACGAATTTTAAAGAGGAGGAGGAGTAGAGATCTGATCAAGTTCGTCGACATAAAGAAGAAGAGCTCGTCAGATCTGCATCGCCCGCATCCCATCCTTAGAATTATCCCATTGTGGTAATTCTAAGAAGAGCAATTATCTCGCTTCGCCGAGATAAGCGCTATAGTTTCTCGATCCCTTCGCGGATAGACGAAGCTCTGCCTAATTCTTCAGCAATCAGATCTGATCGACGGTGGTCCACGGATAAACCCCGGCACAGGCAAAGATCCCACGCAAGGAGAAGACCGATAAACGATCTCTGCGTTTGTTTGATAAAGTTGTAAACTTTTTATTTTCATTGTGTAAGGAGATCTTATAAAAAGATCAACTTTTTATTTCATTCGAGTTTATTGTAACGACTAAAATTGTAATAGATTCGATAGCAATGAAAACATCAACTTTCACCGCAAACAAACTGGCGACCACAGTGGGATTTGAGTGATTCGAAGTGCGTTGGAAAGCCGACGAGGAGTTCTATAAGCTCCAATGATTAGATCATCTGTGGAATCAACTTGGACATGAGGGGCGTAGCGCCTTTTGTAGGCGACGCGGGGCTCTCGATCAATTCGTATCCTCGTTATTCTGAAACTCCGATGCTTCACGTAGTTTGTCGATTCACTTCAAGCATTTGGAACCGGATAGTGACGTTCATCGTTGTTCCTTAACACTGAGCTATTCGTGGAGACCTATAGGTAATTTTTGATGCCTACAGATACCCCCTCAAAAGCGTTCCAGACTCGTTTCTTTTATAGAAGAGGCTGGAATACTTTGGATGTGATTGGTCCAGCCTTCGGTCGGCGTAAAGGACCTGTAGTTAGCTTCAACTCTTGGCTCCTTCGATTTTCGGTCTATTCAATGTTTTGACGAATAGCCGAAGTTCTTCCGGCGCTGCGTTTATCGCTTGGCCGTCGTCGGAGTCTCGAGTGCGTCAACTCAACTCAGCTGGTGGTGATGACTCGAGACTCGCTGACGACGCCGAGGCGATAAACGCTGCGCCGGATAAGACTTTCGGAGCTATTTGTCAAAGCCAATGTAATATTGACTGTGCGAGTGTAATCGAAGAGGCCAAGAGTTGAAGCTTACCTACAGGTTCCTTTAACGCCCGATCCGAATGGCTGGAACCAATCACATCCAAGTATTCCCAGCATCTTCTATAAAAGAACTGGTCTGGAATGTGCTTGGAGGGGTATTGTAGGCATGCCAAAAAATTGCCTTATAGTTGTCTCCAAGCGAATATGCTTCAGTGTTAAGGGACGACTGATGAATCAGTCACTATCCGGTTCGACAGAGCTTGATGACGCGCAAACGCTTGAAAGTAATCGACGAACTACGTGAAGCATCGGAGTTCAGAATAACGAGTGATCGAATTGATCGAGAGGCCCCAGCGTCGCGTGTTTTTTTAGTTGATAACCAATAAGGGCGCTACGGCCCCTGTCATTGTCCAAGTGTGATTTCCACAGATGACTAATCATTGGAGCTTAATAGATACTTCTCGTCGCCTATTCCAACGCACTTCGAATCACTCAATCCGAGTTCCGGTACTTGAAGAGATTTAGCATCACGTTCGGACAGGAGGACGAATGCACACAACGGTGTCTCGGCAAAGCCGAGACACCCTACCGTGGGTGTCTCGATTTGGGAGATCACCCTATGGGTGTCTCTCCCAACGCGGATTTGGCCGCTTTAGGTGGTTTTAACCCGCTCCGGCACTCCCTCAGCCTATAAATACAAGCCTTAGGCCTCATTTTTTCAGATCTGGAATTTTGGAGAATTGGCGAAGCCCTGCCGGAGTGAAGAGTGATCGAGCACTTCAACACAAGAGAGTTTCTTCGTCAGATCTACATTACCCGCATCCGATCCTTAGTCTTATCCTGTTGTGGTAATTCTAAGAAGAGCAATTATCTCGCTTTTATCGAGATAGGCGCTTCAAGTTTCTAGATCTCCTTGCGGATCGACGAAGCTCTGGACCAGATCTGATTGCTAGGTAGTCCATGATTAATTCGAAGAGATTAACAATAATCAAAAGAGTACGGAAGATTATACTTGAATCCATAGAAGAAAACTTGATTTGGGTTTTTGATGATCTTCTAACCTTAGGGTTCCTCTAAATCCGAATTTCTCTTACTAGATGGGGGTGTAGAGAATTAGAGAATGTAACCCTAGGTTAGGGACCATAACCCCTTATTTATAGATGTTGTACATTTGTAATTTGGCTCCTCAACAAATTACAATTACAACCTGGTATCTGCACATATAACCCCATGACTTATTTAAATACCGAATTAACCCAAATTAATTGATCACTTTAGTGGGTTATCCTGAAAGATAGCAATACACATTGATTAATCATATGTGCCCACAATTAGATTTATTAGATTAAATCCAACACATCCACGATACATAAATGATCACTCTAGTTAGCACCCACTTGAACTTGGGGAACTATCGTTTGGGCTCAAATGCCAGTTATACCCTTCCAAATACAAACCCAAGCTTATACTCGCTTACACAACCCAATCCGTCCCAATGAAAGCACATTTAAACATTCGTCTTCCCAATGGTTCTTTAGTGAAGGTAGTTTGGTAATTACCCATCCATGATTAAGCTCTAACCCAACCATGGTTAACAAATATCGGATGCATTTTGTAATGGAGCGACTAATTTCAAAATACGTAGGATCTGTGAACCTAGCCAAGAGCAATTTCAATGAAAGACTAGAGGGACTAACATCGAAATCACCCAAAAGAGGAACTAAACACCACCAGCAGAGAATCATCAAGCAATTAGCCCCCTCCCAATCTCAAACGAAAGGACAGCACCAACTCACTCGTACCCCAACCTGATCGAGCCTGAGATACTCCTGATCCCACCGACTCATCGTGATCTTCTTCGGCTTCCTAACCTCCATCCCCACCACCTCATCCGCCAGATTGACGATCCCCATCTGCTTCACCTCCCTCCTCCCGTAAACCCCCG